CCTCGGGCTCCTGCTCAGCAACCAGAGTTTCATTCACCTCCTTGACTGGTGCTTGATCAGATAAAGCTCCCTGACCACCCTCCGCGGGACAACCAACCTCCGGAGTAACCTCCGATACCACAGGAGCTACGGGCGGGACAATGCCCTCCGTCTCACTTGAACCTGGAAATAATAATTCCAGTCAATCAGAGGTACAAGGTAAGAAAAGGTAAGCCTTAGGAGCCAAGCGTTACCTGCCCAGTCTAAACCCGATTCACTTATTGGAGGTGATTCAGTAAAGAATGCCTCGAAGTCAAGCGGGTTGAAGGCCGAAGTGGGAAGAGCTGCCAAGTGACTCCGTTTTTCAGAAAGGTTAGTCGACAGCTCGGTCCTTTCTTGCTCTTCGGAGAAATCTGCTTCATGGATTTGATCCAGCAGAATCAGGTTACTCTCATGCTCCTTGATGTCTGACTCCAAGTCCGACCTAGCCTTCTCAGTCTGCATGAATCGGATGGCCCCTTGGATCAACTCCATCCCGCGTCCCTTGACCTCTTTTCTGGCTTTTGATGCCGACCTCGCCAACTCAGAATCACGCAATTTGGCAATCGCCTTGTACTTTGCGTTGAGCTCGATGAGTTGGTTGTTCAGGGAATCAGCGTTTGATTCGGACTCTTGAAGCCTACCTTGAATACCAGAAAACTCTTCCTGGAGCTTGAAGTTCTGGTCGTACTGACCCTGCAGCTCCCCCTTTACCTGCGCAAGCTCGGATGTTAAGTTGTCGACTTTGTCCTCCAGCTCGTGCTTGGAGCCGGCAGAAGAACTGACTTCGGCCTCAAGAGCAGAGAGTTTCTTTTTCCACATGTCAATCTCCTTCTCCCGTCCAAGGACCAGCCCTTCATAATGTTCGATCATATCGTTAAATTCGCTATGAGCCTGGCGTCATACATGAACCCGGGATGACGAGTCAGTTCGCAGAATAGCAATACAATAAAAAAAAATAATAATAAAAGAAAACGGAACTAACCCGAGATGAGTGATGCGCGTGAAGCAAATAACGTTCACGAATCGCAGGGCGCCATTTGTCGAAGTCTGGCAAGATCGAGCCCGACCGGGTCTTGAAGCATCGGAAGACGCTGCCCTCTTTCTCCATAGCTGTGGAGAAGGAAGAATTGTAAAAAATTGGAATTTTAATAAAGACAAAAAGTTTAAAGTACGTGTAAATCACCAAACCTGAAAGCGATTTAACTTGAGGGACAAGAGCAGGCTTCAGCCTCGAGGGAGCATCTCGAGATTCAGAATCTCCCTTTTTCGGAGACGCGCTCCGGGCAGTCATTCCACTATCCGGCTGGGAAGAGGAGGACATGTCAACCGGTCGTGGAGGACCCATTGGTTCAGAAGGAGGGGATGACCGAGGTGAGCGGTCAGTCCGGGCCCTTGACTTTTCCCTCTGCGGGGAAGGATCTCTGCGAGAGGACTTGTCTCTCTTCCGGCGAACCAAGTTCTTGATCGGCTCGTTACTAAAATCATCTTGGGGAGGACGAGGTGAATCACGGCGAGGAGATTGATCCCTCCGAGGAGAACGTGAGTCGCGGCGATCGCGACGGGGAGTTAGTCTGAAGGAAGCAACAGATCGGGCTCCCTCGGTACTGCCATCATCGACCAGCAAGGTCCTACTATAGTCCTTCTTGTCTATAGAAGTCGCGAGAAACTTTTTCTTCTCCTCGCAAGCCTCAGCCATCGGCTTAGAAAGCAACTTACGCTTGGCCGCAAGGGCCCGAGATGACATTCCCTGAGTCGAGGGAGGGGGAGGAATTTGGGAAGATGACCAGGCGGACTCATCCTGAGTCTGTGGTTAGACTCTATGAATCGTGCGAGAGTGAAGGAATTCCAAAGGGTTT